TAGGAGAATGGACTGAGTTTAGTGTCTAACTGTCAAGATCTGGAGAAAACAAAATGGGAAACATATTTTTCAGGCATCATTGACTTGCCTGCACATGCACTTTGAATACATTTCTAAATACAAATGGAAGATACGTGTTATTAAAGTATCCTACAAGGACTGTGATAACTGTTTTTTAGTTCAGCGTTCTTAAGTGGAGATAACACTAGAAAGAATGAAACAATTGTTAAATTGCAATATAACATGCAGATTGGGAAACAAATAGTGTTGTGCAAGATGGTTCAGTTTGCAAATAAATTGTCTATTTAAAACAAACACACACCAAAATTTTGAAGAGAAGTTCTTCTGGAGCTTTTGAGTATCTAATGTGGAATGCAAGTTTCCCATAGCTTAAACTCTAAAAGCATTCCTGAAACATCATGGTTCAGGTGTGAAGCCTCAAGTACATTAACCATTTTAATATTTCATAGGTTTATTTAAATTAAATAGGAAGCATAAGATATTTTACTGGTTAGAGTGAGCTGGCAATTCAAAGAACATTTAATGATGTAATGCAAACTTGTAAATCATTTTCAGTGGGGGCCTCATAGTTCAGCACAACTTTTATGTAATATACTAAATTGCTGGCATAGCTTTAAAATTTGTAATACTTGCAGATCATGAAAATTAGAACAGAATCCATATGTATACAGGAGAAGTAGCTGAAAACATGAATTCAGGCTTAAAGATTTTATAGATATGTTGTAGTCTTTAAAGCAAAAATTGTGTCTTGTAAGTGTTAAACCATGGCACATGTAAACGTTAAAATGGGTGAAATGGAAGTACACCACAGAAATGCAATGTTGAAGTTATGTGGTACGCGTTGTGGGAGTGTAATTTCTCACAAAAATTGTTTTTATGGCAAAGTATAGTGAAGATACTGGTATAGCGTAGTTTACGAATGGTGAATATGGTTATCATCATTCTTAAGTAGTCAGGGATTCGGTATTTTTGACAAGTCAGTCAACAAATTACTCATTTTCTGTGCAAGGATTTTCAGTTAAGGCATTCAAGCATCTCCGAAATGATGCATAATCCTCAGGCTTTATTACTGCTTATATCTGTAGGTTTCCATTGCAGCACAGGTATCAAGAGAAACGAATTATATTGCTTCTGTGGGAGTTAAACAGGCAAAATTTAGGGGAAAAAAGGAAAGACTGAAAATAAACATACATCTGTTGTGAATCTGGATTGACTCTAAGGTTAAATAATGATGCCTGCCTTCACCAAATTGCCATGGAAAAATACGAACTGATCATAATTACAGTACAATAAAACCTCGTCTTCTTGCTTTGGTAGGCTCTAGAGTACAATAAAATCTTTGGCTAAAATAAACTGAATTCATATTTGTAAGCTTTCTCTGTGACAGTAAGGAGAATATTCTTAAATGGCACAAATTGCCCTCTTTTGCTGACTTCCACAAAGTTCTGACAATTTGTGTGACTCAAACGGTGGTCCCCAAGTACGACCATCTGTCTGATTTTACTGTAATACGCATATTGCAAATATGCAAACCACACGCTAGAGAGAACTGTTCGAGAATCCTACCTACAATCTGATAAATATTGAGGAAGGTGGTTCTTTCAGCCTCCATTGTAAAAAAATGAGTAAGACTACAAAGGTCCTGAAGAGGAGGAATTGTACACCGGTTCATTCAGGTCAGTTTCATATGATCTCTTTCCCCGTAAATCTTAAGTTTAAAGAAAAAGAAAACCCCACCAAAACCAAAAAACACGGAGCGAATGCAAATATTAGCCCATACATGAAAATACAAATGATGTTCCAAACTGTGTTGGCTCCAGATGTTTCTATGAGTTAAATGGTTTACTGTTTTCATATATTTAAAACGTTCTGTTTTTTCACTTGATGTTAGCAGCTTTGGGCAAACTTGATGGCATTGATTTCAGTTACGGTTTTGTACCACATGTGGGTGAAATGCACATACTGAAAAGATACACCACGAACAAGAATTCGGTCGTTAATATTGAGAGGTAATAGCTGCTTACACTTTCTTCAGCAATTATTTTGCTGAAAAGCTTTGCGCTGAAGCTTTCTTTAACTGAAAAGTTATAAATTTTTATAAAGGATGGTATCATGTAGCCGTAATTATTTGACAACTCCACGCAGTAACTTCTTGAATCATTTCAGTAAGCGTTTGAAGTTATTTGCCTCAACATTAGTTGCCTATATTTGTATTCTCCTCATATAGTTTAAAATGAAAGCATAAAGCTCTATAGAGATTTGTATTCCCAGTTCTCGCGTGCTTAAAATCTCTTATCAAAGGGGTAAGAACAGTTGGTGTAGGACTTGTGTACTTACTAGGGGACTCGGGAGCCCAGGGAGGCACGGTCCCGAATATTCCGACGGGGCTGCGAAGCTAACGGCCAACACCTCGCCAGCCACTGCAACTTTGCAACTGCCGCCTTCTTTTTGTTTTTTTCACTTCTTGATCTTTTGGAGCCTCTCCTACCTCTCCCTAAAAAAGCGCTATTTGGCTCCGTCTCTTATTTCTCTTGGAAACCTAATCTTTCTCCCTCCCCCTCGCACCCTCTCACTTTCTTCATTGTGCTTCACTCATTTCACTTTTTCTAGTCCTGTGCGAGAAATCCTGTGCGGCCATCCCCTAGAATTAAA